TGTGTGTGTGTGTGTGTGTGTGTGTGTGTGTGTGTGTGTGTGTGTGTAAGGCAGAAGAACATGTTGGTTCCCCTGGAGCTGGAGTGTCAGGCAGTTGCCAAGCATTGGAGTGGACAATTGGGAGGTGGTGAAGCTCTGAAAGGAGCCCAGAGCAAGCAGGCCATTGGAACCTGTCATTGTAGCTGTATCTTCCTCTCTCCGCCTGGCTCCTGGTGCTCTTAGCTACTGAGCCAGCTCTCAGGCCACGACACTTCCTCTCTTCAGTTGCCTTTTTCAAGTGTTGGGTCACTAGAGAGAGAGCTAGCTAACACAACCCGCAATAAAAGCAGTGACCCGGACAGCCCAAGCCCTGCCTTTAATGAGCTAACTCAAGAGAGAAGTCATGTCTCCTGGCAGCCCAGAGTGGTCAGGGCCAGGACGGGAGAAGCCTGGCTTAGAAAGGATTGAGCACGTGATGAGAAAGCCCGGGGTCATGGTGGACAGGAAGGTGACAGGGAAAGCAAGGGCAAATCAATGTGGTGAGCAAGCCTGGGCCAGGACGGTTCAGGCGTGACTTAGGGAGGCAGAGGGACATGGGGGCTCAGAAGGAGCCCAAATCTGGGGCTGGAATCAGGGATCACTGAGACCAGGAGGGAAAGTCTGAGCGGGCAGGGCAGGGGACTGAGAATTCACGCCCTCACACGTGCAGCCTGGGGGCGTCCTGGTGCTGCAGCTACCATGTGGGTCCACACGTGCCGTAACCCCTCATTAGCTCCTTTAAGGGGATCCTGATGGGATGGCTGTTTGGGGGACTCTGCTTAATTGCTGCATTTGCTTAATTGCAACATCTGGAGAAGAGGACAGAAACAGTGAAACAGCAGAAAGAATGAGGTTGAACTGCAGAGAGCTGAGGAGGCCCTGGGGGTGGGGGGGGAGCAGCCTGCTTGGATCCAAGCACAGCTCGGTGCATGCAGAAGCTGCCCCGGCGCACACAGGCATGCGAGGGGCACGCACCAGGGCACACTCCTGTACGGTGTGTGCTCACTCTAAGGGCCACTGGAACACACGTGTGCTGGCATACGTTCATATTCGGGGACACACACACGTGCCCAGAGGTAGGAGGATCGAGAGTTCAAGGTCCTCCTCACCGTAAATTCAAAGCCAGTCTGGCTGCAGGAGACCTTGTGTGGAAACACAAGGGGCTGGCAGGCAGGGTACTTGCCTAGCATGCATGGCATCTCGGGTTCTAGCTCTAGCACCACATGTAACTGGAGATGGTGGTCTCTACCTTAATCCCAGCCCTTGGGAGGTTGAGGCAGGAAGATCAGGTTCAAGGTTCTCCTCGGCTAAGTCACTCAAGTCCAGTCCAGGCTGTGTGAGACCTTGTCTTAAAAAAAAACAGAAAGAGGGTTGGAGGGGTGACACCCGGGTTAAAAATGTCCACTGCTCTTCTAGAGGACTGGGGTTCGGTTACCAGCACCCACAGCGACTGGCTGACAACCGCCTGCAGCTACAGCTTGAAGAGAACTGACTCCCCCTTCTGGCCTCCTCAGGCACCTGCACACACACACACACACACACACACACACACACACACACACACACACTCACACACACACACACACAGAAAAACAACAAGTA